CTGGCAGAAAATTCATTGTAATATCTGTAAATATTCTGCCACATGTCAATTTGTTCCTTATCATCATGTGATTGATCAACTTTTTGACAGAAAGAATCCCAACTTCTCAAGTCAATCCTGTTACAAACCTCACATAAACTTTGCCAGAATGAAACCCTTTCGAATAACTCTTCATAGAAATATCGTTTCGTAAAACAAAGTGAAAATACACCAAAAGATCGAGTTGCTTCCTTTTTAGAATAGAGCAACTTTTTGAGAGCCTTCTTTTGTTTGCTATTAATCGCTTCAATCTTATTCTTTCCATTCATTGAAAGTTTAGCTCTCTTTCTAATTTCTAATAATTGACTATACGAATCTCTATAATATTCCTTAACAATTTCCAAGTTAGATGGCAAAAAGCTAATGATATACCCCAATACATCTGGCGACAAATCATCCAATGATTTCTCCCCTTCTCTTCTCTTATGAAAATATTGAGCATTTGGTGATGGAGACAATTCTTCTAAATTTCCCTGACTCATTGAATGACAACTACTGTCATACGATGTAATACTCAATCTATGATCATCTGGTGCTTTTAAATTGGGAAGAGTGAGGAATGAACCAGTACCATTCTTTTGTAAATTAGCTTGACTTGTTTTTGGACTAGTCACGTCATCAGTCATCTTGTTCATATTATGCAGAGAGTTGGAAAATTTGTTTGGTTTCTTCTTTTTCTGATTGTCATCCTTCTCATTCCTCAATGCTTTGAAAAAACCTCCAAAACTCTTTTCGGCTCGTTTCAAAATTCCGTCATCGAATTGACCTTGAGATTTGGAAAATTGTTTACTCATGGCAGGTTCGGAACCAACAGTTAGTAATTTCGGATCATGAAGTGCACTTTCGATAGTTGCTTCCTCTAATTCGGTTTTTGAATTTGCCATGTCTTGATTTGATTTACCAGTGCTGCCACCTGTCGTTGATTTTGATGGCAGCAAGGAATGTTTAGAGAGGAATGTTTTCATTTTTTTTAATCTATTCAAATTGAATTAACCCTCTCTTTGTTGAGGGAAACTTGCTGAGAGAGATTTTTGACATGTGCTGAAGGTTTTTCACCATCTCTGGTAACAAATAAGAGAGGCCGTTATTCACCCTAACGTGAGATTGTAATTCACACACTGCGTTAGAATTATTTACAATTTATTAACAATTTTATTTTACCTGATTCATTTTCCTTTTTGTTCCTCCAATGTGCTGTATATCGTTGTCACTTTTGAGAGGTAAATTGTTAATGACCTCCATATATAAAGGAGTCTAAATGGTTGTGTGAAAATTAAGGTTTTACATTCTCAAACACAGAAAATGATTTAAAAAAAAATGCGAGGAATATTCACTTGGAATCATTGCAGATTCAAAAGCAAAGATTATTCCACAACGCTTTAAATGTGGTCATCCTAAATCCATATTTGAACTCAAAGTACACAAATAAAAACATATTAAGGTGAGACGCACAACCCAAAATCATAATTTACGTTAAGAAAGAGCAACTCTGCATACTTAAATAGAAAAATTGTGCATGTGTCTCCACCCACACCATATTTCTAGATCATCATGATGATGAATATTCTGTAGAATGAATATTCTGTCGTCCTAGTGGGTGAGAATAAAGGCAAAAAAAAATGTTTAAAGATACCTCCTCATCATTATATCTCTAAACAACAGCAGCGATGTACCTAGCATTGATGCTTTTCAATTGTTGATATATTGTATCAAAATGAAATCAAACTGAACAACTCCATTTGTTGTTGTTGTTGTTGGAAGAAATTACGATTTACCTTTGGCCTTAATTGATTTTCATTAATATGGGGACATGAGGTTGGCTGTTGGTGTACGCATTTCTAAAACACTATTGGTTTGGGTTGTTCTCCTTCAGATAGTCTTCCATTATCACTACAACAGCATTTGTCCTAGCAAATGACTCGCTATTAGTGACACACAACAAAGGCAAGAATTTAGCCTTCCCTGAATAAGATTCAAAGAGTCGAAATACGTTATTATGAATAAGTCTTCGGAGAATTTTTGAATTCTACCCCTCGCCTAATTATACATTCAGAACAAAGTCGCAAAAAACAATGAGGTTGATAATTTTTGTGATTTATAATTATACTCAACAATTACGAGCCCGGAAACCTTTGCCTAAGTGGTGTGCTTGTCCTTCTTCTTCAGAAAGTCATCCACCTCGCTTTAAAACTGAACAATCGACACACTGCTTGTATTTGTACAATAAGAAAACAGAGAAATTTGTTTCTTTGTTGATCTATTAAGGTTAGATGCGATGAACAACTCTAGATTGAATTAAAGCGCATTTGGATAGCCTTATTAGCAAGTTTGCTTACAAGACACACGACGCCCAAATCTGAAATCGATTTCTGCGATGTACGTTAGAGGTGGTACATTTTACGTTTAACGTTGTTTCTTTGTTGTTCTATTAAGGTGAAATGCAATACCCATAACGAATTTAAGCAAAATTCGATATCCTTAATTAGAAATTTTGTGTGGACAAGGAACGACTCTACCATTTCTGTAATCCTGGAGAAGCTTTCAATTGAGAAAAAACCTTAAAAAATGTTTAACAACACCCCATCATCACTATCTCTTGATGAACCAAGTGAAAATAACATGAAAGTGTTGCTTCACTTGTATGCTTTACAGCAACAACAGGAACAAATGTTGGCACATCGACAATATCAACAAGAACAGCAGGAACAACAAGGGATGCTGATGCAGAATACCACAAACGAACATGTAGAAGGCCTTATTTGTGTTGAAAATACCAAAGCGTCAGTTCAGCAACAACACGCTGTTGCTGAACCTTCTACATCCAAGACAAAACCCATGATGAGAATAGTTCTTTCAGAAAAGAATGGAATTTCGAAATGTGAAATTATTGAAACATCCCAAGAAAGCATGCATCATGATGTACATGTAAGTAGTTCGATGTGTACATGTATTCTTTACCTTTACAGAAACCTCATGTTTCGCAACATGCATCAACATCTACCAATTTTTCACATGAACACAAAATTATTAAGCCTTCCAAAATCAAATCGAGAAATAATCAAAACATCATGTCCAGAGTTCGATCAGTATCATCTACATCATCTTCATCAAGTTCTAGTACATCAAGTTCAAAAATCATAGAACAAAATCAAACGCTAAATGAAAACGAAAATGGAATTAAACTCTCTGTTGTAACAATGGATTCTTACAGGGAGGAAATGACAAAGAACTTGAATAGACCTAAACGTGGAAGAGGAAGACCCAGGAAGAATTAAACATTCAATTACATTTGTTTGAGTATTATAAATGTCAATATTCGATATACTTATTTGAAGCGGATATTCTAGATTTAGAGATATATATTAGAATGGTAAATTTATCCTCTTCATTAGGAATATCTCTTTGTTGATTGGTATGTTAACCATTCTCCTCGCTTAAATCCATCAACACGATTAAACCTAATCCATAACAAAAAAATGTCCAATAATTACAATTACATGCAACAGCAAGAGGCAGACAGTGAATTGTTTTTTTCACTGTTGAAGATTTACATTTCGCTTATTAACAGATCAGATGAAAACA